CCCTGGTCAGTTTCTCATCACAAGGATATTAGTTGAAACGACATTATGGAAATCTCACTTCTTTGTTTCACAGTGGTCAAAACCTAATGGCTTTTTCAGTCATAAATACATCACTGGCAAAGACAATGCACAATTATTGTATGGTAACTGCATAGGCAGACCGAAACATGTATGCTTCCGGCGTGATGTTCGTTGTTCAACGCAACGAAGTGAAATCTCGATGTCTATTTATATTTCAAACATCATCTTTATTCTAGATAACGATAAATTAGGTTTTTTAGTTGTCCGCCTAAAATCCTTCTTACCATCGCTGAAATAGATGGGGGAAACGCAAATTTTTATATACTTGTAAGGCTATGTTTAGTTGGAATGATGTCTCGAAATCAGATATTGTTACGGGTTGATAGTGCTGATCAATAACACGCGGTGAAGTCGTTAACCAGAACTCCATGTGTAAATTTCTCTACCCCACATCCATTATTTCTTAAGTAACCTAATATCATGGACATGGTCAACTGTGCGTCTGTTTCGCATTTTCAAATGTGACCCTACTTAACCTAAGCGCCTACTGGTTCGCCGTCCTCAGCTTTCACTTATTCACTGCTGTGAGTCCGAAGATAAGTCTTCAGCTAATTTCTGTAATATATTTGCAGTGCACATGGATCAATGTACACAGGTACTAGTCCATAACACACTGTAGGGTCAGTGAAATGTCACTGAATATCGAACAGATCGTCGATCCTTGTCAAGGTCAAAGACAGTCAACGCGCATCAAAAAGTATACGCCATGGACCGGTCCACGCGGCAGAGGTTGTCTTTTCGCTCCCGTACTTTCGTGGTTGTACTTTAACTAATATATTCTTGTAATAACGTCCCTCGTATTGTACAGTCTCCGTAGCATCCATGGTCCCTTGTTACATCGATGGGGTCAATCCACGTAAGATGCTGATCGCGAGGTGTGGCTTCGAAGTTAGCCTGTTCGTCACATCGTTCTCGTCTAACTTTAGAAGGCCCCCAATCATTCGAAATAGACCATCAACGTTGATGTTCTACAACACCGTAAAATAAAAAATCTAAATCATGCATAAACAAACCAAAACTAGATGATTGAAGCTGTAAATAGTAGGTTGAAGACAAAAATATGGATAGCAGGCAACATAATAATGGTTAATGGGTCGAAAGTAAAGCACACGATATACAGAATATGTGAATAGATGTGGTAATTTGAAGTATTTGAATTGTAGTATAGACTAGTAATCGCAGAAATTTAACCAAGAAGTATTAGATGAGGACGAACGAATATATTATACTTGAAATTCAAAATCAAGCAGTAATCAACACAAAGAAATCATTGGTCCATATAAACACCACTGAAGATACCATCATTATTGTATTTTTACAACTCTTTACCAGTAGCATCTTCTATAATCGAATCGCGCCCACCCAGTTAAAATCAAAAGTCATAAGCGAGGAGGTTGAAAGATATATTTGATGGGTTATCAATATATCGAAAAGTTACTGACCTAAACTGGCAAATGATCGTAGGAGATGTTTCCTACACCGTTCTGTAACGTGATCTGGTACGGATGCATGACCGAGCGCCTTCAGCTAAATAAGTCCACTAAAACTAATGTGGTCAGCATCTAATGTTGAACACTTACAGAGCTATTGATTTTGGGGATTTATTTACAGCTACACCACAATAGATTAACCCAGGCATTTAGTAATTAAATAGTTAACTATACAAAACGCTAATGCATAACATAGTTTCGGGATTTACTATTTATCCAAACATTTCATCAGGGAATTCTAAACTTCATTTCAGTGATATATATCAACCGTAATTTAGTTACAATCATTCAAATGCTGATAGGAGATTGGGATTCAGAGCTGGGAAACCTGCTCATGTTAGTTGACAATATCACGTTTTCCGAAGAAAACCGTTAATATAATTCAATGTACGACTTTAGAAAACACAATAGGAAACGCACAATAACTGGTTCTCGAGATTCTTCCTATGGTATCCAAAAATATGACATCTGCTGAAGTATATCATTCACCACTACAAGTTATATGAATTTTCTCTTGGGCGGGTAGGGCCTATTATGAACTGAAGGAAATACAAACCATGTGAAGATTCTCAAAAGCTCAGTCAAAAAACCACAAATATGGTTTCGGATATTAAAGTGCATTTAACTCAGCTCCATAGAAAGATATTTTGAGGGGCACGAAATAAGAGGTTGTACGTCCAACAGTGATGTTGTGTTTTGTCAGATGGGTTCAGTTCGACCTGCCATCAACCTTGTTCATAATTTACGTGGTAGAAAACCCCAAATATGTTATACACATAACTTATCGTTACTTGAGTATAAAATACCATAGTTAACACGCTTGTTTTCTGAAATGTACCACCACACGCGAATACACTGTGTTAAACATGAATGAGGCAAGCAAAATAGATGAAGACATCCGACAGTTCATACTAGGTCCACGACTTTACTGTTCGCATGGCGTCCATCATGGATGTTCAGATGACTCATTGTAGTATGAAGTACAGCAAATCTCAACTGGCACAGAAATTACTTCCTTTCTTATTGCCCTGGAAACAAATAACTTGGCCACAAGTATGGCATACTACAAACCTCGAATCAGTGAACTCAAATATATGACCCTAACGACACTATTTATGGATTGATGCACATAAGGTCATTCGACTGTCACACTATTACAGAGCGAGCACTACATTTAGATCAGCCACCCTACAGTTCGGACCATACAGGCTAAATAAATCAAGAACTCACTTGTTCTAAAGCAAAGCTGAAAATTACTCGATCACACAACGATAAAATGGACCAACTCCAGACCACCTATTCATGTGCCCCCACATTTTTACAATCAGCAGTTATCAGACAAAAATGTGGGTAACCAGAGTAAACAGTCGATGTACATTCTGCCAGGCCTTCTGGGTACCTTTTTCGAACTTCTAACTGCTGCAAAAACGTGCTGCCGAAATTCGGAGCAAATCGTCACATCGGTCTCATAAAACGCTTCTTCTCCCCGAACCATTAGAACTTACTTCAGCCAGGTGTTGCTCTAGGTTGTCTAATTGTTGGAAGACCCAGCGGCCTTATATTACCTTCAAACTCATGCGGTAAATGATCATGGTTTTTTCATTCGAATCCTTTGGAGTGCCATATGTTCTTGTGGTAACTTAGTCAGGTATTCCCTAATACCACACTGCGAAGTATAAAATCATTGATTCAGTCAAGGTTTTGAATAATACTTAGTATATTTTTTCAGAGTCATGATAACACGCTACATACATATGTGTAAATGCACCAATTTTTCACTTTGTAATAGCCAATAGTTTATCTGCGGTTACTTGCATGGTTCCAAAGTGAATTTATTTTATGCACTCATATTGGTACTTGTCAAATAATCGAACCAGAACCTTGAGCATTTATTTATTTATGTATGTGAACATATCTTAATCTTTAATCTACGTGGTTGTCCATCTACTCGCTAATATTTCATACACGACATACTTTTATGTGAAAAATGAATTAATCATAACTAGAATAAGTTGGCTGTGTGCCAACTTCATGTTGCATCTATCTATTTTCACTTAGATGATTTTCTACGCATAATCACATCCTTAAAGTAAAAATATTTTCACTAAATTTCATATTTCGGCTTTTTGATTCTATTTTATATTAACGTGATCAGAAGGTGCACGAAGTTAAATGAGACCTACAATGCATTAACATTATTACCGTTCGATCATAATAGTGTCAACAATAAACGGTATAATTCAGTCCTTAGTAGCAACATATATATGCCGAATAATATTCAATAAGACCACTTCATGAAATTATTTTATATAATGGCATACTTCGTTTGATATTAGGTAACTGATTTAAGTCCATCGAAAGCCTTGTCTAATCTTGGTTTCCTTCTTGTTTACTGTCATCATCAAAAGCTCAATCAATCTAATGTTCCGTAAAAGGGGTTTGTATCTGTTCAATCCAGTGTTACAGTTTAAAGCATTACCACACTATAGCCATTAATACTTTTATCTCATTCTTCGAGAGTATTCTTCACAAACCTTCTTGAAATACGTAAATATGTTCTTTGAATAAACTGAAATGAAATGAGAGTAAATTAAAGCATTTATACACAAATTATTATATATGTATATATATACATTTTGTCATATTAATTCATATTGATGCATGTCAGTTTATAAATAAATGAGTAAATAAATAAAATTATATATATATATATATATTTATAAAAATAAGTAAAGGGGAAGGAAATGTACAAAATCACAAGGCTTGATGAATATGTTCGTTTTTTTTTGTGATGAATCTTTTCATGCATAAACTTTTCTTTCCAAAGAAATCAAAATAATGAAGAAACAAAGAGTGATTAGAAAGTTAAAATAAGGTGAATAAAAGGTATGAAATTATTACTATCAGTAATAATAATTAGTAGTATTTGTATGTTTTTTTTTGTTTAATTTTGCTACAAAATAGAAAATAAATTTATAATTCATCTGAGATGAATTTTATTCAAAAGGTTAAAGAAATTACATCATTTCATACTATTCACAACTGGTTTTTTTCTTTTTTTTCTTAATTCTCTATTCATTGATTAGAATAGAAATATTGATTATATGTGTGTTAAAAAAAAATTGATTTTTTTTCTTTTAGTTGGCAAGATGATAGTTGAACAAGTTCCATTGAAGCAAGATAGAATAGAAAAAGTTTTTTAAAAAAATTATGTAAAGGATCAAGAAGAAACGAATGTTCATACAAAATGGTGAAAATCCCTAGGATCACTATAATACATAATATTACAATGGTTTAATAAAACCCAATTAAGAAATACACATTCATAATATTACTACTACTACTACTAATAGTAATAATAATGATAATAATGATCATTGTATTTAAAAAAAAAAAAATTAATTTTAATAATACGAAATTTTCTAATCATTATAATCTTGTAGAAGAATTTGAATCAGGTCTAGAATAGAATATATCCAAATAATCAGGTAAAGTGGGATTTTCTTGTCCAACAGGATAAAGTAATAATTGTTGATTGTTATTTCGTCCTAGACTATGCACCTAAAATTAGTTTTTTTTTAAAAAAACAACAAAAAAAAACAAAAATTAAATCAATACAAATGGATGCTAATCATATTTTATCGAGAAGTGATCTTAATTATTGAACTATTGCAATCTAAGAAGTGCTGGTCTTAATAAGGAACTCTTTAGGAGTATTCATCAATGATCCTACCTGACGATAAATCTGGGACGTTCAAATCTCATGGAGTCACTTGACATGCTTTCTCATTTTCATTGGTTGTCTAATTAAGATTAATCGTTGGAGTAAATAGTTAGATTTATCTAACTTCACAAACCCACTTTACCAATAAAATGATTCATTTTTTAAGCAAGAACAAAAAAGTTATACTGAAATTGATCAAAAATAAGAGACTGTTAGGGACTTGGTTTTGATATAGTGAGGGATTCACTGTCAAATGTTTATTATGGGATCTAAAGAAACGACTTAAAAATCTCGTCTATTCTGATATTAGTGAATAAACTATACTTAGTTAGCTCGAAGCAGATTATTATGTGGTGTATCCTACTTATTGTTGACAGATATATGCAGTGTGTAACACTAATAAGAAGTGGAATGCCAGTCAAAAGAGGATTGAGAAGGTTGAACTGAAAAGAACCAAAAGGAAAACAGAGAGGAAGTGAAATAAAAACAGAATTGGTAGAATCATGAAGGATGTTAAGAACAACTGATGGAAGATGTGCAAATGAGATGTTTAATATATGGTTTCCATAAATTACAAAGACGATCCGTAATTCTGAACAGGATAATAAATTTGTGTCCCTACCAATCCTTCGTTCACTTCAATTAAACTACTGATTGAAAATGATGTTATTACACGGTAGTTTTTAAGTCTATTGATATACAAAGATTATGAGTAATATTCAGTTAACTGTTACAGTTCTGCTTTTTCTTGTTTACTCTTGTATCTGTTTCGACTTTCCGACTGATTTATTTGTGACCATACAAATTAAAACAAAACATCTTTTACTATATTTGAGCATTTCAAATGATAATTGATTTTATATACGACTAGGCCGATAGTTAGCATTTCAAAGTAGCAAATAATACATTTCAAATTCACCACATTCATATTACTCAAAATAAAGGTTGTAATTTTACTTGAAAACAATGTAAATCAACTTACTGAATAAAATTTCACAAGATCTCTTAAATCAGTGAATTGTTCAGGATTTGCAACACCATACAATTGATAAGTACTCTTCGTTGTATTACGTGAACCAGAATTAGTTTGTTTCACTGCAATCACTGATACAAGGAAATGATTGCAATAGGATGATGTAAATAAGCTGATGACATAACCTAAAAATGATTCATTCAAATGTAGAAGGAAACTGCCATTTTTATCACTTTTAGTGAGTAGACGTTCAGCTTGTTCACGAGAAAGAAATCCTAATAAAGAGAATTGGAGATAAGTGATCTATTTTAATCGGATGAAATAATAATTAGAAATAATGAAGCAACTCTCTACATTATATGAATCAAACCGTTAACAGATTGCTTTTAAGTTTTTCAATAATTGTTCAATATTTTACAGTTTTTGTCATTCCTATGTAAAATATAATTTATGAATTATTTTACGTAAAACATACCTGGACAAAATATTAAGAGATCATGATTGGGTTATCAACAACGTTTTAGTGTTCATTGAGTATATCTTACAAAAGATTTTGGTAATTTTCTTATTCATTTAGTGGATGAGGATGTAGTTTTTATAATAAATTTCATTCCAACCCCTAAATATTCACATATTTTTTGTTTCGTCATCCGGGATCTCAGGATATAAGCAGTTGTGAATAACTGAAGCTGCTTAAAATAAAGCGTCTAATTAAACTACAATTCACTAAGCACCACTGATCCACTAAATCAACACAAAAATGTCTGAATACCCTAAGCACAACACAACTTTTGAATACGGAAAACATTTCGGAAAATCTCAGCATGATACTGTTAGTAAACACCTAGATATTTTGTAAAATTTTATTTTAGTTTGCATCTTGCAAAAACAAAAAAGTGGTTGTGATGATTCTCATGGAGCAAATATCAAAAATTTCAGAGAATGATGATGAATATCTTTGAAATACCTTTCAATATGTATTTTTTCTACCATTCACAAGTTAACTGGATATGCGATGGAAATTTGTTGTAATATTGAATATATTGTGCTACATATCCTTTACTATGAACAAGTTACATAGTACCGGATAAAATCATCAGTATTACTCTTATTACTATTGCTATTTTATTTATTTTTCTGTCTTTTAATATGTGGACAAACAAAAGTGAAGGACCAATGTCCATTTAACTTAATTATTATTCACGAAACAAGAATGTATTCACTCTGCTTAAATAAATAGGTTTTAGTGTGTTACTTGGTCAACTGTGATTTAGCCGGATTGTAGAAAACACGGGGCCAAGTATCTTTACTAGCATAAAAAATAATCGGAGCAGAAAATAATGACGGCTATTGCTTAGTTCAAACAATTAAAATGATAATCGACTGCAATATTTAGCTTAACTAATAAAGTTTTATTAAAAAATATCTAATCTGCTAATAATAATACAAGGACTACCGAGTAAAGGAGTTGAATATCTACTTACAGAAGTAGAAAAACAGTTAGATATAGGTATGTATTCTTATGTTTTAGAACCTGACGAAGTTGGATAGTTGATAGATACGTTTAAAAACACAATTGAAACGCTGTGTGGTACTAAACTACAAATAAGGATTGCATGATAATGAAACATAACCTCTAGGCAATAATACTAGTCAAACTGACTCTCAATTTTTTCTAATTTACGATCAGGTAATTCATTCAAGTTTCAAAAGACGACGTCAGGAAAGTATTTTATTCAAATAAAAATATCATGTAACTGTAATCATTAGTTGACGTCGCAAAGTATTTGGTAAAATTTTTACGAGCAATAAATTCATTGACTAACTAAACAACTAACCGTGAAACCATTCAGGTACACGTGAAAATGTCAACGATGATAAATTTGGACTAAAGCCAGTAATTGGTAGACCAAAGTCCACAAGTAAACGTGCAGCTTCATAGCTTTCAAACCATTTGTAAACTTTAGTTTTAGGATCCTCTTGAATTATATTGTTGATTTTACGTGAAGTTCTAACATCTGGTGTCCAAAACGCAGGTCGTGGAAATATTGATGGAGGTGAATTAGTTGTACTAAATGTTTGATTTAAAGTATCTATAAAATGAAAATAGCTTTGAAGTAAAACAGTAAAAATTTATGACTGTGCAAAGAAAAAACTATAGTTTGTGAATTAAAAAATGGTTTTTAAATAGAAGTTACCTGTTAGATAGATCGATTTTAGATAGACTGTCAAAGAAAACCAGAAAGCATGTAAAATTATTTCATTCTGGTATGTGATTACTTAAAAGGGCGAAACTACGACTTTACAATCTACTGAATCTATAGTTATTCGGTCTCTGAATGATGAAGTTTCGTAGTGAACACTATGTACAAATCAAACTAATTTTCATGAATCTTTCAATCATTAAGTAAACCACAACTCAATAGTATTGTTTTAGAATATCTGTTAAGATTCAAGTGTTGAGGAGTATTCAAGAAATTTCTTGTTTATTTTATTTTGGTTTATGATCAACAGTTCTGATTCATAAACTGAAGAACTCTAAACTTTTATTTGGTCACAGGTTGATATGATGTTATCATCTAATTAATACCCTTAATTTATCACCTTTGTGAATATATGGTATCGTGGTTATCGCGCGACATGAAAGTCGTGGGATTAATTTTGAGAGTGTTCATGAATGCATACTGCTGAAGAGTCTAGTACTGGAATGAAATGCTCCTTAATTCATAATACTTCGTCAATGGGTTTTAATCTATTATGATGAATGATCTTAATCAGATCCATTTTAATAAATCGATTGCCTCTTATTACTGTTTTTATTTTAGCTTTCAACATGATTAATTAACTAATTTTCTACTTGTCTACTCTTAATGTTGAATGTTTGTTCACCATACTGAATGTACATTGATGGCTTAAGCATACTTTTAGAAATATAGGATAGAAATGTATATCACTGTCTTCCATGAATAATTTAAGATGGTCTTTTCACTTTATGTAACTAGATGAAAGTTTTATAATTCTTATGGATTCCTATGGATTACAAGACATGGAGAAGACGGTACTTAATGATTCCTGTAACTGAAGTCCACATGAAATGAATCGAATTGACTTTAGTAATTATGTATCTTTCATGTATTTTGGTGCTTTATACATTAACGCAACATCAATAAAAAATACTCAACGATACGTTTAACATGGTGTTTGAGTTGTTTTGGTTTGATCAATCTGTCTATCGGAAAAGTATAATGTACATATTTAACAAATTAATAATATTTTGAAAAAACAAACAACTTACGACTATTATCAGTATGGTTGGAATGCTGTTGTAGTGATGATAAATTATCATTATTATAATTATTATTATTCAGTGTTATTCTTTGTTGTGATTGTTGATGATTTATCAATGAGGATGGTTGTTTTTTCTCTTGTCTTGATTGTTGTGGTTCAGGTTGTTTGGTAAAACATGTCTTCATTATATAATCTGATGGATTGGACGAAAATGTAATCGATGAAGATATTTTATCTAATTCTGATGTTGATGATGAAAATGATGGATCGATCTGACCATAATTTTGATGTGACAAATTATAGGGATTATTTAATAAACTAATTCGATTAAAATGGTTTTTTGTAATGGATGAATTTGTATTATCCATTACAGAACTAGGTGGAGTTCTTTCATTTATATGATGATTTTGATGATATGGTGCTGGTGATACACTGGTTGGTGTTGTTACTGGAGGACTACTTAATGGACTTCTGGTTAATACAAAACGTTTCAGTGTCTTATTCGTTGTTGTTATTGTTGATAACGGCATTGCATCATCAATGGATACATCACTTCCTTGGTTCGTTGTATTAGAGGGGTCAGTGAGAATAGTAATGGTACTATTATTGCTATTGTTAGGACGATTATGCGTTGTAAATTCAAATGCATTCTTGGATTCATAGGAATTCTTGAGATTCATACTATTGTTATTAATTCGTTTATTATTATTTAATTGTTTATCTAAATTTAAATAATAATTTCGATTATTACTAACAATACTGCTAGTATTACTGTTAATACTACTACTAACATCGATATTGTTATGATCAGAATTAGTTGTTCTCATTATAATATTATTAGTATCGACATACCTATTATTACCATTATCATTATTATCATAAGGTGTAGTAGTTTTCATAATTACAGAAGTATTATTACGATTATTATTGGATATACATACAATAAGAGTGTCAGTATTATCGGATTCTTGTTGTTTATAATCATTTCTATGCATATTTATATCGATATTATTATTCTTGAACTGTGTGATTTCCTCTTGATTATCCACTTGTACTCCTCTACCTCCACCTTTTCGTTGTACATCAATTCTGGCATTATTATTATTACTATGAAAGTCGTTCGATTGAGAATATAAATTAAGGGTAGTTTCAATCTCTGGCGAATAAAAATGATTTGGTTGTGTAACATTTTTTGTCATGGTTGCAACTGTTTCATTTATGATTATTGGAGCACTACTATTATTGATTTTTTTAAAAGAATTCTGATTATTTTCATTATCTTGTACAAAAGATTTGATAATGGATATATATTGTCCATTTGTTTGACTATGAATATTCTTATCATTATGATCATTATTGATTTTATTATTATTATTATTATCAATGATATTGTGACAATTTTGACAATGTCCATTCATAGTAGGAACATTACAACTTGTAGTATTATCATTATAGTTTATAGTATTAGATAAAGATGGGATAAAATGATTATTCGTCTGTTGATTTAAGTTTAATTTTCGTTTGAATGGTGTAGGAGATAAAATAAAGGTATGATCAATATAATTATTATTAATGTTATTATTATTACTACTATTATTACTAACGTTTTGATAATTGTTATTCAATGGAGATATAGAGTTATTATTACCAACACTTAATACATCTGAAATACTAGAATCAATTGTTTTACTAGCTGTGTTTATAGATGAATTTGTTGGTGCCGTAGTTGAAGAAAAAGAATAAGATGATGAATCATAAGTGTATGATGCAGAATCATATTCTGAAACAGATGAATCAAATGATCCTTGAATTAAATTTGGTTGAATTAGGCGTACATTATTTTCATGACGCTGTTTATAGGAATAAGTAAAACAAGCGTACACGATTAAAACATTGACAAACTGAATGGTTTTTGTTGTCAATAAAGATAAAAATCTAGTAAGTTAATCTGATTTATACCATTACTAGTTAGAATCTGAGCTAGTCTGTTGTTAGTATTCAGAACTGAAATTCAATCAACTTTGTTGGTGTGTGAATCCTATTCTGATTGCCTTGATGTTTTCATTTTTTCGTAAGCTATGTAGAATACATAGATTATGCATAGCTGCGAAATGAAGAAAGAACGTTTTGTAATGTTTAGAACACATCAGCTAGATTCATCTACTGCATCTGAGTGTAACTATAAACATCAACATTATGATTCAATTATATCCAAGTGGCAGTTTACAAACTAGACAAAACGCGCGTCCTGAATTCCACCTCGAGCCACTATGTATATTAAGGTTTATCTTGTGTCCGTATTTATGAAGTTTATTGACCACTAGATACCTTTTGTAGATGCCTTTTGTACAGGTCTACAAAATCAAGAAATGGTTTGCCGTATTTTCGGATTTTGCCAGCAGAGAAACTGAGGATGCGCATTTCACCCTACTTGAAACTACATAGTCACAGTATTCAATCTCAAACTAATACGAGGACACATTCAAAGTGATTTTGAGTACTGTTTGCGGTGTGTGGTGTCACTAATTTCCTGTTTCCTAAACCATAAAATGACACTTCGTTTTGTGAAACCTGAAAATAGAACAGTGATATTGATGAATTTGGAGAGTGACTAAAGTGCTCAACGGACAAATACTTGATATCAAACAGACATGGGCTTTTTGCTAGTAGTTACAAATGTACTAGATCCCTACTTTAAAAACCTTAGCTAAAGAGACGAAAATCAGTAGCTTTATGACAATCATTTTTTGTTAGAAAATAAACATGAGCACAATACAACAGGAGAAATTAAAAGCATACAAGGAAAAATTTAAATATTTGTATTGATATTGAATTTATTTATTTCAACCATATCAGTCATCCGTCCTCGACTATAATTTCCTTATTTATCTTCATGATGAATATTTAGGCCCTTAACGATAAGATTATCACTAGTTTCCCTGGGTAAAAAAAGACTTTTTAATATTTTTGTTTATTCTACCTCTAACCTTATCTACAGAAATCTATTATCATTATTATTGTAATTATGTGCATCCCGAAAAATAAGTATATATATTTGCGATTGCACAGCTTTGAAAATGAGTCCGCCGAAAACAGAACTCTTCTCTGAACCAGTCTTTCTCATTTTATGTAACTAACCGTAACTAAATTAACGCTTATCTTCAAACAAATGGATGATGAGAGACAAAACAATTGAACAAACAAGTCTTACATTTTTCATGACTAAAATATTACAGTTGTGTATAAAATATTAAATATAAACTCTGATTATAAACAATCAGGTTGCAAAGCTACTATAGCCATTTATTCTCTGACTAATATTTATTGTAATTCTTATACAACATTTGGTAAGTTACTAGTTAGATGTTGTCATGGTCCTGTGCAAGCGCCTTGATATTACTATTGTGTTTGAGATATTTATTATATATTTTAGTTTGTGGGACTGGTCTTAGTTGGACAACTATTGAAAAACAGGAAGCATTGGACAACCGTTTTATCATAGTATGAAACTCTTTAGCAGCGGGTATCCAATACTCCACAAAGGATCGTACCCAGAATCTTCGAATGCTATAATGAGCCCATAATCTTTAGATCACTTAGTCATCACTCAATGGTTTATGGTGTTAACCTTAATCATTTCTAAATGTTGTGCAAATATCTTCATATTCATCTGGCTTATAACCATCTCAAACTCAACACATTTGAACTCTACTAGTCACGTCTACTCATCAGATATCCAGAAACACTAAATGAAGTTAGTTACTAGTGAGCACAATATCGTGAAATAGTTGACGAGAGGTACGCACTCTGTCAGATGTTAGCTCAGTATTTAAAGGCCACGTGCTCAGCATGGTACCTGAAGGTCCTGCGTCTCGTTCCGGTGGAATTGTGAATGCACACTGTCGAAGAGTCTTTTACTAAGACAAAACAACTACCCGCTGTTCCCTGTCTACCAATGCATGTCTCACTTAGGTTGGTTTTTTGATATCAACAACATCCACTAATCTTCACAATCATGCGTACTGTTAAAATATTGAAGTTGTACAAAATAAAATATCATAAATTTCTTTTCAACTGGTCTTTCTGAAAAGTGTTTCAAGTGTAATGACTATAAAACTTCATGAACTGATAATTTATGAAATTGCAAACTAACTGAAAAAATGAAATACAATCTAATTGAGATCTATTATAATCTAATCATGTTTATAGTGCTTAGTTAACATCAGTGTAAAATGAAAGAAGTTAAAGTAAGGAATTGATGTTTTGCATCATTTGATAAAAAATGGCACTAAATATTGATTGTCATCTTGTACAGGAATTGTATTACTTTTTAAATAAACTAAAATATGATTTATATATTTATACGCAGGTTGTCGAAATGAAACAGTTTAAGTTAGTCTGTAGTAAACCGTGTAGAACCCGCGATATATGTGCATTTGTTAAAATTTCCACACTCCACATAATCATAATGAAAGTAAACTACCTAGAAAAATGCTAGAGTAGCTAAAGCGCTAATAGTATGAATGGAAGTGGAAAGCATTAGACATAATCCAAGAGGAAAACAATAATTCAGGGGATAGGAAGCATAATCGTGAAAATCCAGATCTAAGAGGATCGAAAAACTGAATGAATCTGTTCTGTTATGAGTGTTGATGAGTTATGTCATCTAATATCACTAACAATCCGTCATGATGATCAGATGAACACTAATTAGGTATTCAGTACTTAATATTCGACTCAGTCCAACAGACTGAGTCATACTGATGCCACGTCCTGGCTTGGTTATATCTAGTTTTCTTTCAGCCCTCTTTTATACCAGCAAACTCAAGTGTAAATATAAAGAATGAAATAATTATATTTCAGATTATTAATAAGGGTGTGTGTTTTTCTTACTTTCTTATTATGTTTATGATTGGATTCGGTCATTAAACTTTGGTGTACAGGCTTATTAAGCGAATGACTCTGTATTTACCTTTAGTTCATTAAATTTTTGGATAGTGGCTAGTAGCTAGGTGGTCATGGGTAGTTGGTAGGAAATCCTGGTTAATCTTTGTTTTGCGTCAGCTAATACTTGTCAACAAGGGGTACTTCACGATCTTAAGGAAACTGGTGCTCTCTGGCGAATTCAATCCCGTATTACCCAGCTTCAAAGTCTGAGAAGTTACTACTGAGTCTATCGAGTAGCAATTGCCCCCTGTTGATCTAAATTACTTAGGACTGATAAAGAACCCAGTAGTGATCAATGACACTGATGTCTAGTCAGTTAAGTTAGCAACGAGACTCAAGACGTTACATCACAATAACTTCAAAGGAAATATTCAGTGTTCCACTATAAGCAAATATGCAAAATTATAGCAGAACAATAAAGTTTCGAAATTAATTTAAACTTCTACGAAAACATTTATCACCTGTTTATCATTTTTATATGTCATAATTGCATTATCTGTTGAATATGATACATTAGTTGTATTATTTGCAACTGAACAGCTATTTATAGTATTATTTAATGTTGTTGTTGAAAATGTTACATTTGTTGTAAAAATTGACTTTACTGTTGTTGGTGTTGTTATCGCGGTGGTTGTTGTCGTTGCTATTGTTGTCTTCGTTGGTGTTGTGCTGTTGGCAGTGATCGTTGAATCCATACCGTTTGGTTCTGAAGACTTTGTTGTTGACTCAAATTCTCTAATAAGAACAATTGATTTTGATGAAATATTTGGTGCAGTCTCCAATGATCTGCAGCCATCAGAGCTAAATTTCAAGCAAAAAATAAAATGATATTAGAAGAGGTATATAACAACCTTTTATGGAATAAGTTCATAGTTAATAATTCTTATGAGTTCACCTTCAATACTGAATAATCTTAGTGATTTAAGTATTCGTGATTACGTTAATTGATCATCGCTAATCAGTTAAACATACACAAATAAGTTCACCTGCTCATATGAAACAAGTCAATAAGGTATTTTGTTAAAAAACCTCTTCTACTTATTGCTTACCTTTCGTAGAAGAACTGGATAAGGGACGTTTAGGTTAAGCTTTTGGTATCAGACAAAATAAGAAATTAATTTAATAAAATGATCAATTATTTCATTTGTTATCTATATCTCATATCATACCCATATGCCTAGTGTCAGTAATTGAAAGATTACCACTTATTATATTAATAGATTTTTATAAACATATGGAAAAAGTTCTCATATTTCTTAATCTAAAAGTTTTACAATTTTACACAGATTTTAGAAAAAATAAGGTAGTTTAATGGTAGTAGTATTATTAAAAGATTTGAATTCTGTGTGAAATTCAATGTTCGTAGTATAATTGGACAGTAAACATTTGTTTGATTATATTCAGATGCCGATTTTGTTTATAATATATAAGTGATTAATTTAATTTACGAAAATTATTTATTTTATAAAGAAAGACTCACACCCCAAGTTATACACATCCTCTACGATTCAAATAATATAAATGGATGAAATGATGAAGGATAATTATACGTACAAGTCGGAAGTTATTGATCTATAAATTAGGTGATATATTGTCTGTAAATGTTATATTCATTTTTACCAAAGTCATTGTGTTCATTAATAACAGAATACATTTACTTGTCTAGTTAATTCTTATCATTGTATGTAGTTCATACTACTATTGATTAATTTAGTAGTATGTAAACCAATAACTACTTATTTTACAACATATTAACATATTCTGATAAACTCGTTATTTTTAATTTTACACCTAATTTCAAGCATAGTATGATCATGAACAGTAAAACATGAAGCAAACCAACGGGTAAAATTTCAAAAGTGTTTTATTTAAGTAGTTAAGATTTCTATGAACATAGTTTGATCTCTACAAAAATGATCGCTTACTTAGTTATAATTTTTAAATTCATCTTTAATGTAACATTACTGTTAACTAAGTGACTGATCTGATTTTTTACTTACCACCACAAGATTATTTTACTCATATTTACTATTAGGTTTTAAAATGACTAATTTACACTTGATCGTAGCTAGGAGTAGCCTTCTCTGACTGTTTTATTATCACAAAAAGGTACACACATATTCATGTCATTTTCACATGGTGGACGACTTTCACAACATATATCTCATATAATTACTGTAAAGAAAGTGAACACGATTGGACAAGTGTATAATATAGTTTTGTTAGTAAACTTTATATATTCTTTGATAATACCGATTTTGATTATTTCCCTGAAGATGCTCATACCACTTTTCTGGGTGAAATTTTAAAAGTATTTAAATTCCTGTCACTGAGATTATTTCACATTTGATCTTCATACGACATCTTCTATTTAATAAGTGCAGAACTTCCGTCAAACTATTAGTTTATATTTGAACGCATGTTTATGTACATAGTTTATTTAATGTGATGTTTTTAACCGAATCTCAATCTTGATGAAAACTTAAACAAATGAAGTGGAGTTGATGTCGTTATCTCTATCATTCAGTCAACAGAACTTGTTACAACTAAATAGCTGATGTAATTACTGTACTCGCATCAATGAGTAACTGCAAATTAAGAATGGTTAAAAGAGGACTTGAATGATGAAAAATGCTTAAACATAAATCAATCAATTGAAACTCAGTTGTCTGACAGTAACACACCTAAAGGTCTTTGATTTAATTATCAGAGAGGTCGTGTGTACACACTGGTGATGAGTCTCATGCTAGAATGAAGTAGCTGTTCAATCCCCCTTGATCTTCCGTCGTTGTATTACAGAAGTCTTAGTTTAGAGTGCAATTTTAACAAAGAATTTTATCTCAACTCCAATCTTTTATCATAATTGTGCTTTTCATAATACATGTCTGGCCTAATAAGACCGGATATGTTCAAAATCAACCTCTGGGAACGATTTTACCCAGTTGGAATAAAGTTCATCTTGGGAATTACACTCCAATGTTTAACACCAACACATCATATGAAAAGTAACCTGACCAAAAGTGATGGGTAGGACATAGTGAAGATAAAAAATAACTGTTAACCTCATCCTATATATCCTTGTTTTGTGTATACCAAACTAATTTTTGAAATACCTCATACTATATTAATGTGAATTTATTGATATTACCGTGTGATTATTAGTCAACCTTTGACTTTTAATCCATTCACATGTAAATCATGAATTTACAACAGAAAACAGCTTGGATCCCATTAACACAATGGTTTATTGCAAAGTTTTGCACGTTTTTCAGTGATACTTTCATTAGAAAATTAGTTAAAGAAAAGAAGCTAAGATTTATAAATACATACACAGATATTATCATACAATTATTAATTTAAAAAGTCAACTTCCTAAATTAAGTATGAATAATTAATAACTTTAAACTTTGAAAGGACAATGTTTATTTCGATTAAAAAAGCTTCATAAAAAACTAGTAACAAACTAAAGGGTTTATTTTATGGACTGATCTTAGATAAACATTGAAAATATGAAAGCCGTGGATGGATTTTAGTATGAACATAAGGCAGTTACTGAACTATAGCATTGGAAGATAACCAAGAAAATTTCTTCATTTTTATTATGTACCCTACTTCAGAGGTAAGTTTTTCACATTTCATTTTCTATCATATTCAACACAAACAACTATCATTACACACTGTAGTAACAGTGACTTATGTACTCAACTGAAGGTCTATATTGTCTTTTACAGACTTATGTGTCATACGTGTTAAAAACTGTGTAAATTGAGATAGCTCAATAAAAGGACTGAAGTTTGTATCTAATGGCTTAAATCTAGGCAGTCTAGTTTGCAAGCCAACACTTTATCAAAACTAAACATAACCGACCAAAACACATTTTATTTAGTGTAATAATTTGTCCGTTATATAGTACGCCGTCATAGAGAAAAGCATAAAAATGTCTACAGCAAAAACATCCATACAGATATCGAATATTACGATTACACTATTTACCTAGGCCTATAGTGTCATTAATTAAAATCATTTGGTAACCTTTAAAAGCAATAGATCCTAGTAACTTATATCAGTTCTCATCGGAAGAAATGAAGTCATCTAGACAACTATTGAGAACTTTGAAACAAAGTATAGCTACTTCGTCTAACTGAAGAAATCTGTAATTGTTAAAGGCCAAAGGAGAACGGAGCAAAACGTTTTTGTGTCTTTAAGTAAGCGAAATATTTTTAAACCATTGAGTTAGAAATCACTGGTTAGTATCTACAACTTCAGCTAATTTTAAGTTTTTAAGCATACCGTTATCCTCAACTCGTCATTATAAGCTTAAGAATTTTTCTGCAATCTATTTACTAGTGAAAGTGTATATCTTCATTGTCGGTACTAAGGACTATGACCAATCTTCTCAGAATATATATATGCTAATGATGACTGATCATTCGTAGAACTTGACAATCACAACGGGAAGATATGAACATGTATGAATACCCGTTGGAAAAGCTTAAAGCTGAAAGCCTTATTTTTATTAACCTGTATTTTGTCCTTACAAATAGAAGAGGAGCATAAGCCGCCCATCAGCATTCTCCATACAACCCTGTCCTAGACAATCCTTTCAGTTCTTTCCAGTTAACCTTCATCCTTTTCATATCTGCTTCTATTTCATGACGTAATGTGTCCTTTGGCCTTCCTCTTTTCCGTTTTCTTTCACGATTCCAAGCTAGAGCTTGCCTCGTGATGCAGTTTGCTGACTTCTAAATGTATGTCCTATCCACTTCCAACGTATTTTCTTGATCCCGCCTTCAACTGAAGGCTGGTTTGTCCTCTTCCACAGTTGGCTGTTGCTGATGGTGTCCGGTCAATGGACGACGAGTATCTTGTGTAGATAACTATTCATAAATACTTATACCTTAATGAAGCGCCTCATAATCAATGAAGTTGATGTATAGTGACGAATTCCACTCAATTGATTGTTCCACGATGATATATAGTGCTGCAATTAGGTCTATGAGTGACCGATCCTTACGGAATCCAGCCTGTTGATCTCGAAGTTGAGCGTCTCTTAAGCCTTTAATCCGATTCAGCAACACTTTGGAAACCTTTCCTTATGCCTATAGTAGTGTTACTCCTCTGTAGTTCTCACATTTGCTCAGATCTCCTTTCTTTTTTTTCTTGATGAGGTATCCTTTTTTCCAGTCCGTCGGCACTTGTCCCTCCTCCCAAATCTCCCTGAATAGATCGTGGAGCATGTTTGCAGTTACTCCAATGTCTGACTTCAGTGCTTCAGCTGGTATATTTTCAGGTTCTGCTACTTTCCCGCTTTTGATTTGTCTGATGGCTGTCTTGATTTCTTCGATCGTTGGTGGAGTGACATCTATAGGAAGGTTTGTGTGTGCTTCTTCGATGTCCAGCGGATTCAATGGGGCTGGCCTATTCAGCAGTTCCTTGAAGTATTCTACCCATCTTTTTCTCTGTTCTTGAGTCTCCGTGATTGTCTTCCCTTCTTTGTCTTTGACTGGTCTCTCCAGGTTTTTATATCTCCCTGCTAGTTTCTTAGTTGTATCATATAGTTGTTTCATATTCCTTTCTCTTGCAGTTTTTTCCGCCGTTGTTGCTAATGTCTCCACGTATTTATGCTTGTTGTCTTTATTGCTCTTCTTCACTTCCTTGTTTGCTCCTGCGTACTCTGCTTGTGCCTCGACTTTCTCTGCTCGTGTTTGACTGTTGTCAATTGCTGTCTTCTTGTTCTTCCTTTCTTCAATCTTGTCCAGGGTCCTCATAGAGATCCATTCCTTATGATGGTGCTTCTTGCG